TGTCACAGACAAATTTCAGCAGTCTTTTTCGATGGCCTCAAGCAGGAAAACGACGAGAGTTTTGCCGAATATGTACTGGAGTTACGGCTGTAGTATTTTTGCCACATCAGGAGAAACAGTGACGGCAGAACAGTGACACAGTGAAGAAAATGGGGCTTAATGATTGCATCTTGGATATAAGGTTAAAAGGAAGGCCGGTGACAAAAAAGAGTTGACGAAATGAATTTAATACATTCACGTGAATCACGTGAGATCAAGGGTGGTGTCATGAAGTTATTTTCTATCCATTCATTTAGTTTATCATGCGAAAATTTGGCGAACTTGCGGTATACCAAAGCCAGTACACGAACATACGTCACTTATTTATTGTGCCCTCACTCTACAATCCAAAACTGAGCCAGATTTATAACAGCAACAGTCCAATTTACGGCTTATAAGCACAGTGGTAAATAAATAAAACGGAATCCAATTATACTGCCTTTTTAGACAGTCCCTCCACCTTCTTGAAACTCAGGACCGCACTGACTTTATTGTGATCTACGCCAGCCTTTGGACACCATGGGGAGTGTCGTGTCCTTTTATCACATACAAAGCAGGCTTTATTATGTCTGTATCTCAACTATGATGACTAGCCTTTATACTATTCTGTTGCATATGAAGAATTTGTTTCATTTCCTAATATGCTACATACTAATTTTAGACTGTGAGTAATTATGATTTCGATTTTGTCACTTGTACAACTTCAATTGATTAAATTACGCCCGACAATTTTTAACAGTGAATTTACCTGGAAACTGGGGAACTGGGGAACGTTGTTCGAGAGGAAATAATAAGCTGATTTGATTGAAATGAAAGTACTGGGTTAGCATTATCACCGCTGAAGTATCGCAATCGCTCTGTCACTGCGTTATCCGTTCAGAATGAAATGAATGCAGAACGCACGGACGCGATTCATGTAGAGGTCTGGCTACTTTTTTTGCAGCAAGGTCCCCAGATATGATTATTCATTAAATCAGTTTTCTTCGTTTACTGATATCATCCCTGAATCTCCGCCCCATCTTTCTTCTGTATTGTCTTTGAGTCGTCATGTTCACTCGAAAGCTAGACACCATGTTGACATGATTCTTTTCGCCTCCTTTGTGATTAGCACGAATGGGTGCCTCTTATCCTTGTCCATCTTCGACAACACAGCAAAAGAATAGAAAAGACAAAAATCCTATAGAAAATTCAATTGATTTTTGATGAAAAATGGCAGCAAGAGTGTTGAAGATGCGGTGGATATCATAAATCAAGTTTTTTGCCAAAATAAGAGGCTGGATCTGATAATCACAGTTACAAGAACATGCTTGTTGTCCGGCTTGCTTGATGGGCAAAATAATAAAATAGGTACGCACCTGCTTCACAGTTCATGGGAAGACCTTCACTGCCGCAATACATGCTCTGGAGATAACCATCATCGTATTTCTCCCAGTCATTTCATTCTTTACTTTTATCGTTCTCAGTTTCCAGTGATTTGGATTTTGAGGCTTGATTTTGGAAGGTATGCTTTTGTGAAGCCAACAATTATTTTAACACAACATGGAGCTATACTCAGATAAATGTGATCCTGCATCCTTTAAACCTACCTCATTACAACACTTAGGCAATGAAATCGAAACTTCATCGAATCATAATCCTCAGAGAAAGGTAAAACATAGAAAATGGAAAGAGCAATAAAACCTTTCGAATAAACCAAAATAAATACCTTTTAAAACTCCTCTTTTATGAGCATATCAACATCATAGCTGATCAGCGCGGCCAGGTTGCAAAACTGCTGAAAGTTTTCTAAGATCATCAGTGGGTTTCATAAATTGGAACGTTAAAGAAGTATTGTTTTTATACGGTGAATTTTTCAATTTTCTTCCTTCAGAAACTTGCTCCTAAATATGTCGCCATTCGTATAACCTGTTTTCAGGTTTCAGTACGCTGTACCGCATTGTACTGCTATGTCCTACACGAAACTGAAGAAAACCACTCTGCGGTGCACTTGGTAAAATATCACATTTTTGACAACTATGGCATTTTGAATTAATATAGTTAAAGGTCCTTTATAACGTACTGAGTGCAGCAGCGTTCGCTCAGATGCATAATGAGGGTTGAATGGCATGAGTATGTAAACAATAACTCCATTCACTTCAGGTCACAGATCAGAAACTGGAAACGGTCATTTACGAAGTAGGTTATTGGAAACATTTTTGATGCAATGACTTAATCCGTGGATTATCGGAACTCACTAGTTTTAGCTCATGCATGTATGTATAAATTAATTTGGCGGCTAGCATGCGCCCACGCAACTCTGATTGACTTGGTTCTATGCGTTTATACCAAAAAGGGGTCGATTAATCATGTCCATATTCCGATGATGAATCTTCCAGTGTTCCTTGCAGACGCCACAGTGGCAAGAGGTCGACTTTGAACTTTGAAGGTGTTGGGTTAGACTCCCAAACAATTCTTACCAGTCGAGAAACGCCTAGTAAATTGTTGATTGGTGAAAGTACACGCAATACTGGGTTCTGGTGTGGTATGCAAGAATGGGCTAGGGGTAGGACATGCTCTCTTCATCGCAGGCCTCGTACGGTTGCAATTCGTCATCGATTGCTGATCCATTTGATAGCTGACTCTCTGGAGTGATAAGTCAGCAAAGGGTTTAAACGAAAAAAATCGATCGACCAACTGTAAAAACATCCACTGTTGCTGTGAACAAGAAATATCGTTAAATATATTATTGGATATTGGTTGGAAATGAGTGAAATTTTTTCACAACATGCTAATTAAATATTTTAGAGCATTTAGGTTTCCAATCCGTGATACTCTTAGGCTGTAAGGTGCAAAAACAATGCGTTATCAACCATTTTCCGCTACAAAGACACTTTTCAGCTTAGTAATCGCCTCGAAGAGCCTATTACTTCGATTATCGTTTTGAATGTCTTTGGGAGTGACCATGCCATAACCGAGGGCGGTATGACGAAGCAACAAAGCGACTGGTATTTCGATACACTTCATAAACATGAAAATGAGGCGATTCGATGCGTTGTGGCCCTTAATTTTGGTGCCTTAATCCGTTTAGACTCGATCAATGGCAGAGGAATGCACGCAAAAACCGAGAAACCACGCGTCGGTGAATGAGGCACTTTTGTCATCCTCGCTTCTGATTGAATCGGCGTCCTTTGATGCGCCGCGTTCCTCGGTAGGTAGGCAACTTTTTGCCAGCTACAATGTGTGATCGACAGATTGCTTACAACGTGCTAAGCCGAATAACGATACTCGAATCTGACTCGACAAGATGCGAGTCATCTTGTAGTTGCTGAACACCATTCGTTACTAGTATTTAGCGAAAGAACAGCACGCCAATAATACGCATATCGCTGTGTCAGATGCAGGGCTTCTGCATGACGTCGGCAGTCGCCCAGAGACGCACGATATTCGAATCTCCCGAAACGGTGTCTGTATTTAATATCAGGCACTTTTCACCTCGGAACCAGCTAGCAGACCCTCTGAAGGGTTTCCAAGCTTCTCGTATCAGTGGAAGAACTGTGGATTTTGATTCGAAAAATGTTTCGAACAAATTTCCTTCTTTTTATAAACCAAACAAAATTTTCTTTCGTCGAAGAAAGCAGGAACTCAACAAAAACAAGAACAGCCCGAAGATATAACATCAGAGCGCATTTTGCAACCCAGCTGGAAAGAAACTGTTGCTTCTCTTAAACCCAGGCTTTGCGGTTGTTTAATGCTTAAACAATAAATCATGTCAGTTAGAAATGTCCATTATCACGTGCGATCGTTAGAAATGGTCGTCGTTTCGGTATTAGGCAACGTTGAAATGATATGTGAGACGAACTTCAACTGTGAGTGAGCTTCCTCAATAAATTGGTCACTAACGGCTGTAAACACCGCACACCGAAACTGCTGTTGTCGTCAAAGTACATTGGTTTCCCTCAGGGATTTTGTCACAGGATTGCCAGTGCCACTTTAGTAGAAAAATCGGTAGATATACCGTAGACGACCGTCTGCTATTTTCGCTGTGTCTAGAACCATTGAAACGCAAACTTGATCAACGAAATATTTTTTAGTATCGTACTGTCCTTTGACGCGGTCCAAGAGAATCGCAGAACAAAGCAGGTGCACTGAATAGGATGGGTGTATGTCTCGTATACTCTCATAAGACAGTACCACTTTCTGCCCACCTGTTCGCAAGTCAGCGTCCTGCCATCGATTTCTAGGCTACCGAAGCACTGAGAAGTGAATTCCTTACTCATAACAAATCAGAGTTAAAAGTGAAATCTTACGCCGGGCTGGGATGTGAACCCAGCACATATTAAATGCACTGCTTTCTATATCAAATATCAAATTTCATATTTCTTTGCTGTTGTGCATATCTTTAGCCCCAAAGCCCGGTAGCACCCTCTGATGTGCATATGGTATTTTCAGGCTACAAAGTGATTAACACTTGTCATACCGAGAAGGGAAAATTCCTCATTGGCAATCGATTAAAACATATTTCCGTGGACGATTTATTTTCGACCACCGACGAGGCAAAATCCACTGCAGACCAGACGGCTTCGTTGTGATTCTCAGGCGTTCGCCACGCGTTCGGACGGAGTGTCATCGCGTCAGCGAGCATTGGTCGCCGAATTCGGATAGGTCGAGGATAATCGAGTTAAATAATTAATTATTTTGGAAACAATCGGTCTGTTAATTAAAGAGTGATTCAAGCGATATGACGGGCGTTTGTAAACATCCGTCGGCAATCAACGCTGGTTTGTGACTTTAGCAGCTAATAACGAGCGAGCTACGACACGTGTTTACGCAACGACAACAACCGATTCGCACGAGTACCTCGAAAAAACATCGAAACATGACTTGCCAGTCATCACCTCGAGGACGTGCCAAGAAGCCGCCGAAGGTCGTCCGAACGGATTTTGAACGCTGTGTCAAAATTTGTACGAGGTGTTTCGCGAGAGATGAGGGACGGTGGACGGGTGCGTGGGTGGGTCGGGGGTGACGACCTTGACGTGTCGCCTTCGGTAACTGTCAGCGTGCGCAGCGCAGAATGTAGCCTCGAGCGAAGCCCAACGAACCGAGGAGGGGAGGGAGGGGCGGTGGAAGAACCAACGAGGGTCGGAGGCCGCGCGGCTGACACCCGCAATCCGGGAATCGGCTGCGCGTCCGACCCATACGGTACGGGAATAATCGCTTTTAATTGGCCCTTGTGACATGGCGAACGTTGATTAGCGCCTCGAAATGAGCAAATTAATTGAACGATGGAGCGAAATCTAATTATATCGTCAAATAATGAGCCGCTAATTGAATCAAAGCGCCATCTAATCGCGTCAAATTAACGAGAACG